GTGTGTTAGAGTGTTCACATTATGGAGTAATTTATCATTTTACTCAACTATTTTAAACTCTTATATACCTTTTTTGTACATGGAGAAGTTTTTAATAAAAATATTTTGTATCATTATAAGGGAGTGATGTCATCCACATGGGGTGTGACATCACCCACATAGAACACACTAATGGCATTAATGTTTCATGTAGGTGATGTCCCACCCTATATGGATGACGTTACATGTTCTTAATGACAAAAAATACTTTTATTAAAAAAAAAATTTCATGTACAAAATAGGAGCATAGAAGTGTTCAAAATTGTTGAGTATAATGATAAATTACTCTATGGTGGTTGATGTAGTGGTGATTAATCAAGAAAGGAAGTGCTATTTCTTAAAATATTTTTAATTTTTTTTATATAAAAAAGTATATATAAAGACCATTTATTTTTGCTACAAGGATGTCACAATCATTCTTATCCATCAGATTTGAAATTGGGTGGTGGTAAGAGTGTCATTTCCTAAACTCGAAATTCAAAAAAATATTCTCTCAACTTTATATTATACTCCAAGTCATCCAATTTGACATCTAATGACTAGTAATAATTTTGACTTTCTTATAATAAAGATTAGTGGTTTCATAATATATAACCCCCTTTTAAAAGGATGTGCTTACGTTGGCGAAATCCTCTCAGTCTCGGCAGAGTTACTCGCCTCTGCCAAAAGCCAAATATCTGGGCCGGGCCGAGTCACATAATGGTATTTGCAATGTGGTTCATGCGTGTGCAGTATGCGATAGTGACACAAAGAGCCCAATATTAGTTACGCAAAATGCGGTTTTAACGCCTAATCTTAGCTCCGCAAAAAGTGGTTTTAACGCCTTTTAATTGCCTTCCCTTTGCAACTGACCTATGGAAAGGGTTCCTGTGAAATTTAATTTAGAAATATTTTTAAGATTCTAAATTTTGAGGAAGAAATCTTTTCAATTTACACTATCACCTCAATAAAAATTTTCCCAATTACATTCTGAACTTGAAAAATATAATTTCTCAAAAATTGAATGGAGACTGTCCAATTTTTAAAATCTAAAAGATCCTTTCAAGCTATTTTTATTGAAGTATAATCACCTTCGAAGGTAGTAAAATGTATAATACACTGATACAGGAGCATGACGAAAGATGATGGTGACTACATTGTATTTTTGAAGGGTGAGATCCATGTTCGAGAATTCAAAATCCAAATCCAAAAATCCTTACAAGGTATTTTTGGAGAGGGAGTAAAATGTATAATACACTAGTACAAGCATAGATTTCATCATTTATGACCAAAGCATAAATTTCACAATTTATGACCAAGATGATACAGGAGTAATACAAAAACGACCAAAGATGATACACCAGCAATACAATAATGAATGATCTTATAGTGTATACAATCTCTCCAACTTATATTATGCTCTCAGTCAAAAGACTTTTAAGAATTTTTTTTTTCAATATACAATTTTGGGATAAAGAATCATCAGGCCATTCTACCCAAAATAAAGGTTTGTTTTTAATTTTTTTTATGCTCAGATCTTTCCCTCAAAAAATGGATGGTTTTTGTCTTGTCATATTAATATTTATAATCTGTTTAAACCCAAACGTTCAGGTTCTTTAATCTCGTTTACAGTTAATTAATCTTTTTATTCTTGAGTATGGGTTTACTTTTATTGGTAAAATCTTTTTCTTCGCGTTTGAAAGAAAGAATCAACAAACAAAAAATCGATGGGGTTTTCTCGACTGTTTTCTCAATTCAAGAAAAAAAAAACGAGATGGAATTTCCATGTGATAGTCACAAATTATCCCTTTCTTTTACATCAAAGTCTGATTTATGGCTTCTGATCAGGAATCTCTTGCCTATTGTTTAGCTTCTTTAAATCTAGAAAATATAGCTGTCCTTTTTTAATTTGATTTGTGATTTCTTAACAAAAAGAAATATGCAGCTATTTAAAAAAAATGGAGCTCGTGCTTTAAGTTCAGTTGATTATTATGCTTGATCTTGTCTTGTCATGTTAATCTTTTTCTAATTGGATTAAACTATGCACACATTCAATTTATTGAATCCTTACCCATAGAAATTTTCCCATCTTTTTCCTGGTTCATGCATATTCTGTTAAGTTAATTATATTTTTTAATCCCAAAAAATCGAGTTTCAGCTCGTCCTAAGTTTTTACTAAACTACTTAGAAGAATTGTGCATTTTTTTAAAATCACATCGAGTTTTTTTTGCCGCCCTCTAGTTTTTAAGGAGAAATATCCATGTATTTATGAAGTTAATCCTAAGATTTTTATGTACATATTAATATTTATATATTATATAATTTGTACATCAATTTGCTAAAACTTCAGCTTAGCTGACGCTAAGACTTGGGATTGCAGGGAATTTCTTTGTTTTTCTATTAACAAATAACCGAATCTACAGATGAAGATTTGGGATTGCACCAAACTTTTTCCTTTTCTTTTCTATTAACAAACAGGGGAATCGTGGATGCCAATAACCATTGAACACCTCGAGCAATCAGCTAAATCAAGTTGGAGGATGACCAAAACCACTTCAACACCTCTATAACTAAGTTCAAATCAAAGTATTAAAATGGTGAATATACAATTATGTATAATCACATTTGGCCAATGCAACTATTTTAAAATTTTTTTTTTAAGAGTAATAATCTTATGAGACCCTCCCACATCCATGTGTGTAGGACCCCAAAAGATCACCATTAAATTTGGCACAAATATCTAAAAAAATCAAGTCCCACATCCATGTGATAAATTTTCTAGAGATTTATGTCAAATTTAATAGTGATCATTTAGAATCCTACCTACAAAGGTGTGGGAGGGTCTCATAGGATCATTACTTTTTTTTTAATATTCAAAAGATAATCTCTTTTCTTAATATTCAAAGGATAAACGAAGAATTCCAATAGTCCATATTTTATAGTATATTTTCATGCCCTTTTAATAATTCTATTAACTTTAAATACTTTTTCCTTTTTTATTCTATTTCTTAAAATTAGTTTTATTTTTTTCGTCATTTATATT